TATATATATGATGAAACATTATTCAGCATTACAAAGGAAGAGAATCCTAACACATACTACAATAAGGATGTACCTTGAGGACATTACGCTAAGTGAAATAAGACAGTCACAAAAAGACAAATACTGTAATGATTCCACTTATATGAGGTATCTAGAGCAGTCAAATTCACTGAATCAATGGTGGTTTCCAGGGGCTGGTGGGAGGGGAAAAATGGGAAAAATTCTTGTTTAAAGGGTATAATTTCAGTCTTCCAAGATGAAAAGTTCTGGAGATTTGTTACATAACAATCTGAATACAGTTTACATCACTGAATTACTCATTTAGAAATTATTAAGGGATCATAAATTTTATGTGTATTTACCACAATTAAAAAAAAAACTTCTCTATAAACTACCTCTGCAAGGCCACAGGGCAAGAGGAAAATATATACAAAAGCTGAATAAAGTACATACTACTCAACAGACCGCATCATTTCTTTTTTCTGCAAAAGGGCTGGTGGTAAAGAACTTATGGAAAACTAAGTGGTCAAGTCTTGAATGCCCCAGAGTGAATTTCTGAAATCACTGGTTCACAAGTAAGAGAGGATCCTGACAACGGCATTTCTTTATCAAGGATAAGAGTAGTTTGTTAAATTGAAAACAATCTATTCTATAAGGCTTCACAACTATGGACAACTGTTTGAATTGAGGGTCTCCACTAAATGTTAAAATTTTAACAGATACAAGCACAAAAGGCCCTGACGTGGTGAAACAAAAGAATGACTGAACTCTGGCAACCCCTCTATCCATTCCAAGTGACTAAAAAGGCACACCGTCTCGCAAGGCTGAATTTTACCTGCCACCACCGTTTTCAACAGACGGCATTCCAGGGACCTGACAGGAGAGAGCATTGCTGACTCCAGCACGTGCAATGCTTCCGCACTGAAAGATTTCAGTAGCTCTGGGTTATCTTCGGTCACTGTCTGCAAACAATATGCTATAAAACAAAAAATAAATATTTAGAAACAAGTGAATTCTGCTCAGGATAATCTACATCATATAACTCAACAAAAAAAATTCACACCTTTACCACTTCTTTAGACACACGTAGCTTTTGTAGAATACATATGCTTTACCTCAAGGATGGTTTATTAAAATGAGGCTTCCCGAACTATCAATAGTTTAAAAGAT